TCTTATTGTGGCTTGCAAGTTACTGTATTACTTGTATTTTTCAACAAACAGTCATAGCAAAGTACATGTTCTCCTTATTGACCTTTGAAGATACTTGTGAACCTGCAATACAACAAATAAACATTAGTGGTATACCACCAGTGACAGGAAAAAGGATTGTAGAGAGGATGGCCAGGAGTTAAAACCCCAGGTGTCACAGCTCCCAGGATTTTTGAGGCACCGGAGTCTACTCAACACGACAAAGTGGATGGTTTTGAGCCACACTCCTTTATTTATAACGTCATTGAAAAATCCACAACACACTGTACAATGATGACTTTGAAAAACCCGGATCAAGGTTATTGACGATATGACGTCAGTTTTTCTTTTAAAGTCTACATTCATATCAATATTCTTTCAAAATGATTTATTTGTATATTTTTAGCTATCTACAAAATTACATATAAAAATATAAAATATCCAGTTATATATTAAATATGGAGCTAACATCATTTGAGAGTCGTAAGAAATATAAAGTGTTATAAATATTATCCAGGCCGCTTTAAGAAACATAACTCATGAAATTTGAATAAATAAAATATAAGTTGGGGTCGAGTTGAGCTTTTATGCAGTATAGACGATACCGTTATATTATCAACACCTTGTTCATGTCAGACCAAACCAAACTGATATATATTTCGAAAATATAAACTTCATGTTCGTGTATTTGCTGACTTGAGCCTCAACTGACATTTCTCTACGGTCTTCATATTTTGAGACAAACGTCGAGCATGTCAGCGTCAATCATATCGATTTCTTTAAGATATAGATTTTGCATTATTTGTTTTTATTTGAACGACGGAGCTGATCACCTTACCTTCATATAGCTATGCCGAACTTCACCACCACAGTAAGTACACGCCACTGCCCTGTTGGTACAATCTTGCTCCCTGTGCGCCGTGAGCTGTCTTCTCTCCACAGTTTCACCGCACGCTTGACATTTTACAAAACCGTACTGACAGCTATCTTCGTGTGTTTGTAAAAAATAAAGAGCATGGAACTTAAAAAACAGTTAATCGTAAATATGTTTTCCGCCTTGTAATGTGTTTTATTTTTTACTTCTTCTTGCTATTTCAGGCAGGTATTTTACATTAGAAAGTGTTAGGAAGTCACGCCACTTATACTGTTTGAATTATAAGAGCTTGTCTGGGATAGCCTTAAAATTTAAATACCATTCTCTAAGTTTTATCGTTACACAGGCAGCAATCTCTCACAATATCAGAATTCAGCACCTGTTTAGGCTGTCATGTTTGCTAGAAATTTCTAGCCGAAACCGTTGATTGAAAATTTCGCAGCATGTTTGCGTGCGTGACCAGCCAGGGTTGTTGTATTTTCTAGAAGCCTTTCAAAGATTTTTCCCTTTTCCGCGGCGAGATATACCTCACGTATGTCTTAGCCAAGTTAACTGCCCGAAAGTTTGCTGATTTCAACCAGCCAAAAGCTGTGTTTAAGTGTCGAAGGCAGGCAAGTCCACAACGCCACTCTCCCGGTTAAGGCGCATGCAAATATCACGCTAATTACCTTTAGATGTCTGAGCTCCCCTATCCAATCGCATCCTTTGTTATCAATCGGCAGAAACACTGGAGATTAAGAACTTCTCTCTCATAGCATTTATCCCTAAAAGATTGCTGTCTTGAAATTGATCCACCGTCTATCGGACATCTTGGGTCATCTAGTCTGAAGGAGTTAACTATAACTGTAAAACCATTATTTCATTCAGCACTTATTCCTGGTATATCCAAATTCGACAGAATCAGATGGATTTTCCAATCCGAGGCGGAAAAAGTGTCGGACATAGTCGTTTCATTTACACTCGTAAATTTACATTTTCAGCCGCCAAATAGAAATATAAATAAAGCAGATTTCAATTTTTCTGAAGCGATTTCGTTTCGGTTGGAAAGCAGGAGTGTATAAGAAATAAGTACTCCATGATAAACTTAGACCTACCCTAAAAGACGTTCCAGACAATCCCAACAAAATCGATGTCCACATGATGTTTGCCAGGGCTCATCGAAAACCTTCTTACAGATCGGGCAATTAAGCCTCTGGTCTACTTTGTTTACGAATTTCATATCAGTATCCACTGTAACGTCGATTGTGACGACCATGGTTCAGCTTTCCACTGAATAAATATTCTGTTCGAAGATAAACGCACAAACTTCAGTATAGCTTCTACTCTCCATATACATATGTGTATAATTACAATGAATATGTACCCACTCTACGTTATTCCAGAATGAACGTAATTTTACGGAGTTACATGATACACGTACTAACGACGCAGCAAAATTAGGTAATTAAAAAAGGCATGTGTTGTTCATTTACGGGAAGCAACCTTAAATATTGACCAGAAAGTAAAAGATTTGATCAGTCCTTTTTGTTGAATAGTCACATAGGGAAATAGTCGTCTTACTCCGATTTAGACCTCATTACACTTTAAGTGTCTTCATGCAAATTTGCGTAACTCCACTTGATTTTCGTGACATGACCTGTCATTTCATTCTTTCTGCTGCCAAAGACGTCGATGAATAACCCTCCATTTCGAGTTGCGCTACGGAATTCGAGCGGAAAGCAGAATTGAAGGCCTCATTAGCCATATCTAAAGCTCAAGATAGCTTAACGAGTCTTAGTGATGTCGAATACCATTCCCGAACGATCGAGCAACAAACTCTCAAGACACCCTTGACGTCGCGAATAAATTGCGTTCAAAGTTTACATGCAAATATTTACAAGCAAATATTTACAAGCAAATATTTACTTATCACCGCTGGTTCCAGTTCCTTTAAGATAACGCCTCTTCCAAAGTGCAAACCTGCCTCGTTAGAGTTACTGATGTATGGAAACGTTTCATAACTTACTTTACAACAAATACATAGTTATTCAAACGTTTCCGGCGAAATACTGGTACAAACAGCATCGATCAGCGCTGCACAAGTGTGTATTTGAGGCACACTCGTCTTTTTCAGAAATACAAAATGAATCTTTTTGATTAAGACTTACGAACAAAATCAAGAGACCCTCGAGGCCCCCTATACCAACGATAATTTCCCTTTTCGCTAATTCAAATTATAATGGTTCCTTTTTTCAGAAAGTTGAGACTGTTGTCGAAATACACATAAACAACATATTCAACGCTTATTTGCGGAAAAGTCAAAGAAATCAGACTTGCATTTCCTTCACGACACGACAAAGTTGTCGCACTTAAGTTAATGCGCAAATGGCCCATTCAAGTCCATGCGTGGCGACTTTTGATAATACGCTGTAGCTGAGTGACCGCCAGCTAATCGAGGTTTTGAAATGTCACCAACTATGATTCCATGTTCTGCACTCAGCGCAACAGAGCGGGAGATTTAAGATCTCTAAAGGTTCTCATTGTGTATCTTAAACAACATACGTTATATTTTGTTTGGATTGGCCAGGTCCCTTCTTTTCGTCAAACTTACTTAATAATTTAGGATTGGCTGTAGTTAGAGTTTCGAAAACTTTGACCACCACAACAAATACATCAATTTAAAGGGTGAAGATATTAGATTTTTCTCGACCTACCTAATTTTCGGCCGAAGAGACAGTTTCTACAAAAGCGAAGTCCATATGACGTTTTTCGTGGCTCGTCGAAAATGCTCCCACAGATCGAACATTTAACCCTCTCATCTAGTCCGTCGACTATAACAACCATGGTTTACCTCAGAAACGCCTTTATCCTGCTTTTCTGATAAGAGATTCTTGCTTAGAAATTCACTCGTTCAACAAATGACTTTGCTTGTGTAATCGTTGCAAATGACGTCATACACTGGAATAGAAAGGTCAAGATATTTTAAGCGCTCACGCAATGCACGAAACAATGCTTGAGCGAGTTTAGCTCATTTAAAAAACATCTAATCAAGGGCACTGAAAGAATATTTTATTAAAAATTATGGTATTACCGCTGATTCGTATCAAATTAAGGGAATTGATTATCCTTCACTAAGTCGATCTGGGTTTTAAATGATAGCACATGCATGTTACTACGCAAATCTACGTAATTCAACTTCGCTCTGGTGACGATCAGGTCGGACTAGCTGTTAATAGTATGTTTTAATTATCACAGCGTGACCTGCTTCGCAAAGCATCTTTTTGTCAATTGAGATTGCGGAAACCGAGAGAGTTTTGTCCACGGGATAAGGTCAGTCTAAACTGATTCGGCAAAACTTCAAGGCCTTATGTAGCCGGATCAAATTCTAGGTGCTGAAAAGAAAGGAACAGTTTAAACCTGCAATCTGTGAAAATCATGCCTGTTTTGTGAACTGTGGAACAACATACCGTATAGATCTACCATATCTGCAACTTAGGTCCAACCTGTATGACTTGATTCCTTGCATATTTGAGTTTACTGCTCCAACAAAAACTTACGTCTTAGTCTAACCGGCGAAAATCGTCAATTCTATACAAAAATCTCACTCTCGGCCTAGAAACTCTGCTAAAGTCGAGCCCTTCTAGTGGTATGAAGAGTGACGCATACAAAAATAAAAAATCTTAAACCTTTTCAATAAATATTACCTTCTCGTGATTAAACAGTTCCCAAGCGTATCTCATCAGAGAGGAAAGGCATAATTGCACGTCTCCGGCGAAGTAGTCTTGTCTGTGCGTCACTGAGACATGCGTAAATTTCCCCTTGAGTTACGTCAGAGAAATGAACTTAGGCACGCTGAATATGGTGCTTCCCCGTGGTTGAAATAGGAAACTGTTGGTGTCTTTCTGTATACAGAGTAAAAATACTCTCATCTATGTTTTGGAACCCGCGTCATTTTCATAACATCCCGTTTGAGTTACGTCGGGGAAGTAAATAACAGTAGTACTTAGACGCGCCGGATATGGTGTTTCCTTCAGATAAGAGTAAGGGACTCTTAGGGATTTTTTTTTTCATACATAGTGCAAAAGGTATTTTCAAATTAGTAACCAGCAGGAAAATCTTACAAATCTTGGGGCATCCTGCCGTTGAT